GGCCGCCCGGGCTGCGCACACGGACACGCGCGGACGGCTGCAGGGGCAGGAGGGCTACATGGAAAGCAGGTCTGTGGGAACGGATGGATGAGATAGATAGATAGATAGATAGAGAGATAGATCAGTGTGGGGATGGGTAGATACAAAGAAGCGCTGTGTGGGGATGAATGGATGGACAGATAGAAGGGTAGCTTGGGGATGGGAAGGAAGAAAGGAAGGAAGGAAAGAGAGAGTAGATGGATGGATAGATAGAGGGATGAATGAACGTCTTGTTTAGGGATAGATAGATAGATAGATAGATAGATAGATAGATAGATAACGCCATTTCATTCAGCTGAGCATGGTGCTACACACACCATGATTAGTCTGCAAGGTGCAAATCGACCCCGTCTTTATCCTGTGAATCATGTTTGCACGCCGAGCAGTGCTACCATTGTGCGGCCACCTTGAAAGGATCTCAAGGCACCCCGGGGTGCTGTGGCACCTGGTTGAGAATTGCTGGGCTTTGGTCAGAAGCTGATGTGGCCGGGGCATGGGTTTCTGAGTAGGGCTGTGTTTGCCAGGAGCGTAAGGCAACTCTGTGCGTGTGTGTGTGCGGCTGCACGCATGGGTGTGAAGATTGAGAGCAGGGGTGTCAAAGGTACAGCCCGTGGACTGGATATGGCCCGTGCAGTCCTATCTTTTGGCCCACAGTGCTACCTGCTGCGTGTAGCACACTCTGGCCTCAGGCCCACACACTGCGTGCAGCCCACAGAGCCCATCTGGTGCAGGCTGCATACAGCATGCAATCAGTTTGGGGCACATACTAATGTGGCACCTGCACCAGCCCAGCCCAGCAGGCTGGATCCAGCACATGGGGCCCGATCCAACCCACAGACCAACCCCGAGTCTCATATCCAGCATTCGTGGCAGCATGAATTTGACACCCTTGATTTAGGCATCCCACTTTACATTGCTCTTCACCCCTGAGTGAATTCAGGGTGTGTTTGAACGAGCTGAAGTCAACAGGGCCAGATGAACTTCCTCCCAGGGGACTGACAGGACTGGCAGAAGAGATCTAAGAGACTTTGGTAATTCTTTTGACCAAGAAGTGGGAGACAGATGAGGTACCAGAAGACTGTAAAAGAGTCATCTTAGTGCCCCTCTTTAAAAAAAGGAAAAGAAAAAGAAAAAAAGGAGGATGTGGGGATTGAGAGACCAGTCAGTTTTTAATACCCAGAAATTTACAGGAGCAAATTATACAGGAGTCCCTTCGTAAGCATCTCAAGGAGGAAATGCTGATTGCAAGCAGCCAGCATGGATGTGCTGAAGAGAAATCGTGCCAGACAGACTTCATCTCCTTCACTAACAACGTAGCTAGCTGGGCGAATGAAGGGAATGGAGATAGTGTACTTGAACTTCAGTAAGGCTTGGCAAAGTCTCCCATGGCCTTCTCATAAGCTTATTGAAGATATGGGCTAGACAAAACTACTGCAAGGTGGATAGACAACTGTCTCAATAGCTGCAAGCAAAGGGTAGTTAGAAATGCATTTATGTTGGAAAAACAGGGTAAGGAGCTGAGGCCCAGCCAGGGCAGATCCAGTCCCGTGCCCCAGTTAGAAGACGTCAGGGAATCGGTGTGAGAAGGGCCAAGACCTTACTCACATTGGCTTAGATAAGACTAGACAGCAGGAAGCTGTGTGAGCAACAGATCGCCTTGCTGCATCTCTGGCCTGCTCTGAATCTCTGACTTGTGACTCCATGATCTGAACCTCTGGCTTGTACCCTCCTGCCTCCTCTTGCTTGCTCCAGTTCCTTTCTTGGACCTCCCAGCCTGGATCTACTGCTTGCCATGACCGTTACCTCATCTTGACTCTTAGCTTACTCTTTTGGACAAAGGCTGAGACGTCACTTTGACCTTGGTTTCCTCTCTGTTAAACCCTGACCTAGTGTGATCCACTCAGATAGGTCCCCCATGCCGAGTCAACCATGGACTCATGGAGAAGTCAGGCTACAGGACCTCCAGAGGCCTCTGAGGAAGCCTTAAAAACACCCTGAAACATACAGTGGCAATGAGGACAGGAGTGGGGGAGAGAAATTCCCTCCTGGCCCTCTGCGGCAAACAGCAAAGCCCAGAAGCATGGGAAATACCCACAAGAAAACACAGGCATTGCTAAGCCTAGATCTTCCCTGACCAGTGTGTCCAACTTCTTCCTGAACATCTCCAGCGATGGAGAATCCACAGCTTCCCTAAGCAGCTATCCCACTGCCTCTCTATTTCAATGGTGAAGGAGTTTTTCCTGATATCAGATGGGGCCGATTGAGAGGGTGATTCAGGGAGGGTAGAGGGGGTGATGGGGAGGGGGAAGAGCAGTGATCTGAGTGGCAAGGGGCAATTGGTGGATGGAGGGGCCAATTCGGGGCAGAGGGCAATCTGGGGACCGATGGGAGACAGAGGGGATGATTGGGGGGGTGACTACAGCAGCAGAGCAATGATCCATGTGGCAGGGGGAAACCTGGGGGTGAAGAGGATGATTTGGGGGGTTGTTCCACCTCCCCCTGCTCCCCTTTCTCTTTCCTCGATTCAGTAATTTGGCCTCTGACTCCTAACCTTGCTCTCTGCTTGCGATTTGGACCTTGCCCCTGGATCTGGGACCTTGGTATCTGCTTCCTAATCCTGGATTGGGCCTGTGTTTCAGACTCTGCCCTGATCTCTGGAGCTCCCCTGGTGATCTAACCACTAGCCTCACATGGCCTAACCATCATCTCACCTGGTGGTCTCACCACCTCCCCTGGTGGTCTCAGCCACTGTCCACAACTCTACCCATTGCATCTTGCATGGCCTCCACTACCCTGAGAGGGTCAGTGTCTGCTGCAGGGCAGGCACCATTCCCCGTGATGGGCTCCTCAGCCACTGCAGTCCCCCACAGGCTTTGGCTGCCTGCAGAGCTGCTTTAACACAAGCACAAAGCACTGCAGCTTCAGCTCCGATGAAGACCCGTCAGCAAGAGTGAGACGCTGAGGGCCCAGGCTGCTGCTTATAACACCTGCTCATCCTTTCAGACCACCTACAAGCCAGAGTCACCTCTGCCCCATGCTCTGATGGCAGCCCTGGGA